AGGCATCCATCCGCGGGCCAGGCATCCGCGGGCCAGGCATCCCCTGACAGATGGGGACCAGCTGCCCTGAGCGAAAGCTGTGCCCGCAGAAGTTCATTAGAACTTCTTCCTCCGTGGCACGCAAGGAGGCTCACCCTTGGGGACCGCGCTGGGAGGGTTTTGTGGCAGAGTAAGAAATCAGCTTTCTGCCGGCCGTCTGGGTTACGCAAAGTCGCCCGCATCTGCGGAGCGGCGAATCTGTTACTTATTCTCCAAGACTTTTGAAGTGACTCTCTGTAAGTTCAAAGTCTAAGCAAAGATGTTTTCTTCTCGCCCTGCTGTGTCTTGCCGCGGGGGTCCTCTTCCCCACTCCTGCCATTGGAAGCCCCGTCGAGTACTTCATAAATAACATGCATTTAGGGGAAGCAGTCGTTTCGGGGGATGTGTGGATGCAAAACCTGTGAGTGTGTGCAGTAATATTGCCACCAACTGTTAGCAAAACACCATGGAGATAAATGGCGTGTAAAACATCTTGGAAAGTCACCCCTGGGCTGGATGAACTGGCTTTCCATCATGAAGTAGTAAAACGCTCAAAAGTGCTTTGGGACATGCAGATTGGTAGTTAGAAGTGTTTTAAAGTGAGATCTTGCCAAGCCATGCATGGATACACGGGCTTATCAAAAAGGCATTTTCTGTTAGAGGCTTTTACCAGCCATAGGCTTCCCCAGTAAGTTACTGTGAAAAAAGAAAAGGTGTATTGCAGGAGTGGACCACAGGATCAAATTAAAGTCCTTAGCAGTTTTCCAAAAGAGGCACCGATGTACAAAATGCTTTGTACAATTTTTACATCCCTGGTTGTAGAATGTTAAAATAGCATCAGAATTGGACCAATAAAGATCATGCTGTGTGTGACTGGCACAACTGGTGTTAGAGTGCCGTAGGCTGCGGACAGAGCAGCCTTGCACTGCTGATGTCTTTGTGCTGCCATGAAATCCTTAATGTACACAGGAGCGCGTGTGAGATAACAGAGATCTGATAGCATACGGCTTTTTGATTCTCTCTTCACCAAAGCAGGTGCTTAAAATAGTGCTTTCCTAGTAAGTACCATTCGGGAAAATATACTGAATGGAGAGAAAGAAATGTGTAAGTGCTAGAGGAAACTGCTGTGCGGGGAAAAATGCTTTTCTTTTTTAATCAGCCTAACTTTTGTGTGTGTGTTTGACATTCCTGATGCAAAGAGCATCACAGCATGCTTACGGCAGGAAAGGACGAGTGTTCACCTTTAGCCAAAGAGAGCTGTGGCCGTGCTGTGGGAACGTGACTGATGGCTAAAGGCAAACCACTCTTCAGACTGTGCTGACAGTCAGCAGAGAGAGGCTTGCTTTCAGCTCAGGCTTAAATGCTTTGCTGATCTGAGACCTTTGGTCTTACATCATTCTGTAACTTGCAAATGACTGAACAAAAGCAGCCCTCTGTTTTACTTCTTTCCCCCCCCGTGCCCGCTGGGGTCCCTTTCGTTCATCTCACCTCTTCATTTGTCCTCTGGCTCGTGCTGCTGCTGCGAAATGCAGCAAGTGGGGCCCTTCCACCTCTGCTTGTGCCTTTCTGACTTTAAAGACTCACCACAGGACTCGCCTCGCACGTTCCTCTGGGCCTGAGGAGTGGTTCTGCTGCTCACGGCGTCTTTCAGGTTGTCACAATATTTTAAAAGTCACATCTCATGTGAAAGATGCACCATCTGCCTTAGCTGACCAGATGAGGGACTCCCCATTTCTCCTAGGGACTCCTTGGAGGTCCCCCACGGGGCAGCAGGGCTGGTGGGCAATGTGGCACTGTCCAAAGCACTTCCTAGACACATTTTTGATTGCTTGATTGATTTTCTCACCAGTTTCTAAGGGTTCCTGTATTGCACAGACCATGACATCGTCCCGTTCTCTGACCCTGCACCCTCTCTGTTTCCGGAGAGCACTGCTGGTGGTGGTCCCACCTGAGTGGTCGGGCTTCCTTGAGCTGCTCTGAGTGGGAGTGGGCTTTCAAGCAGATCAGGATACATGCTCAAAACTCTCCCAGGGCTGCAAAAGAAGCTGTCCCATCAGCTGGTCCGCGGGGACCCGAGGCAGAGGCCGGCCCTGTGGGTTAGGTTGCTGCTGGCTGGGGGTTTGCACTGAGCTCTCAGGGGTCTGGGAGGCAGGGGCACACTCAGACACGCACTCGTGTTTGGCAGCAGCTGCTGTTCAGTCCCTGGAGCCACTTCAAAAGGCTCAAGTCCTGAAGCCACAACAAATCATGATGAAAAATATGATGATAAAGGTTAACCACTTGTCTTTAATGTATTTCATTAGTAGTTCATGCTCCCCTGTAGGCTTGGTTAGCCACACTGCAGACGATGCTCTAGGCTCAGGTTTACCATAGTGGTCACAGACCCAGGACTGTGCTTGAATACATTCTGTATAAGCACGTAGTCCAAGGGATGCGCGTAGCAAAGGGAATGCCTACTCCTTTAACTGGAATTAAACTCTTAAGTATTTGCTGGATGAGTCAATAATCCTAGTCAATAAATTCAGAACATTTAATATTAGAATTACTGTGGTCTGCATATATTATACTAGAGGGAGAACATTTTGTATGCATTCGCATGTACGCATTTGTATGTACACAATAGTAAGGTACAGATGCAGATTAAATACACATAATTTACATTTTTGGAAGATGGCGAGAGACATGCCCATAGCTTATTTGCTTCAAAATCTTGAAATATGTAATCTTTGCTCTCCCACTGGGTTAAAAACTACATCCAAATAGTTAATGTTACTTCCCTTATGTTCCTTTAGAGGCTTACAAAATATGACTTAATGTATTTTAAAGTAGGGGGTTTTCCCCCACTCTTCTTTTTATTCCTAAAAACTGGCGTTGTGGGAATCTCTTTGATTCCATCTACAGATTACGATTTTATGATAGATGTGAATTATAAAGGCAAAGTCAAGGGAGAATTGGGAAGGCAGCAAGGAAATGTTTCAAAAGGAAATCTCTCACCTATGCTGAAATTAGAAACAGTGAGACAAATTCATTCCTGATGTGCATCTGGAAAAGATTTGATCCAAATTTTATTGTAAGAAATTCTTTTTTCTTCTTCTTTTCCTTCATGCTAATATACTTCACAATGGTCATGAAATATGTCCTGCTCTGTTGCTCTGGAAATTATTATATTACTCTGCTGTAATCAGGAGGACAGAGCTATGCATGGTGTAACTCTCCTGAAGCGCGGGGATGTACCGAACGTGACTCACCCCGGCGGTGCATCTGGAGCTTTGTGCCTGTGATGGCATCCAACCAGAAAAGCGATGGGAGAAGATTCATTGTGTGCTAAAAGATTTGGCCGGTTTGGCCTTTTCATTTCTTAAAATAGCAAACACTTCTACCCAGAAAAGCTGAATGTGGTTTTGATTCAGTTTTATTGTTGGGTGAAAATATTTGCATACATTATTGTAACTCTTGAGCCCTGCCATGTGTGACGGCATTCTTGGAAACGTGCGTGCAGTTGGTTTCGAATCATCGTCCCAACAGGATCTCTTATGACTTTGCTGTAGGATATAGCCCCAAAGCATGCACTGGTACAATACTTTGCTGCTCCCTCTGATGTCAGTAGCTTCATACCCGTAGCCTTGTGAACCTGGGTAAAACTTTATGGTATAATGTGCTCAGCGTGGCAGGTGTCTCCCCATTGCTGAAGACCATGCCTGAGTTCCTGCTTTCCCTTTGCAGAGGGAAGGGGTAGCAAGGGGAGTAGATCCCCCTGCCCAGCAGGTTGGGGAAGAGACCTCTCAGCCACAGTGGTTGCAGTGTGGATCACGGTGCCCGCACAGAGCACACCTGTGGGCTTGTAGGTCCTGCTGTAGCAGGGGGCTTGTAGACCCCTTAGGTCTGTGATAAATGAGGCTCTATGGCATTTAATCTTGTAACCGCCTTTACTCTTCATGCTCAGAAAGTGGCACTTGCTTTTCCCATTTCTGAACATTAAGCGTCCCATCAAAGGTCGTTGCCCAGGCTTATTTTGCAGTTTCTGGAAAGCAAGTCACGTCCTAGAAAGGTGCATGCCACCGTCCCTAGACAGCTGCAGAGGTGGTGCTCTCCTTTAACTGTAGAGAGGCAACAAATTCTAGACCAGATATCTAAATTTTAGACAGCTGATGTGTAGGAAAGATGAATCTACACCAACTGTTCAATGGAATGGAAATTAAAATGGTGATGTCATTGTATCACCTTAATTCTTCATCTTCAGGTTGTCTTACGTCTGCTTGGAAGTAACAACAGAGGTTTATGGTTGCATATGAATATATGCAGTTGAAGAAATTAGAAGCCAGAACTTACCACACGTTGCAGGGGTAAAAAAACCTAGATCACACACAGGCTTTATTTAATTATTTTCAGAGGAGACAAAGGAGTAGGAAGCCTCTCTGTGTGTGGTACCTGTCTTCTGTCAGCTGTTTGGGAAATCAGCTTTGTTTGCCATCTGCCTTGTGGTGTTTCTTGCAACAGTGGGAGGACAGCTGGGGTCACTGTCTCTGGCAGCATTCATGCTTAACAGGCTGTTCCCTGAAGCTCTTGAACCTTCTTATCTGTGTTTTTCATTTTCTTCTACCAGTTGTAATCATGTGTGCCAGTGGTGACACAATCAGGAACATCATGTTGGCTGCTCATCGGCAAGGAATGACCAATGGGGACTACGCTTTCTTCAATATTGAACTCTTCAACAGCTCATCATATGGTAATGTTTTTCCTGCCCAAGTATGTTGCAAAGTCTTCTGTAAGCCTGGTAATATTTTCAGATTTGTTAGCCTTAATGTACGCTGCGCTGAGTCCCAGAATACATCACTGTCTCTCCCTGTCATTGGAATTACCTTCCACTTGGGCTGTGGTATTGCAGGGAAGGACCTCGTGGCCATAGTTCCAGTGGGTGGATCACAAGATGCCAAATACACTATAGGCATTACCTAGTTGTAGAGGAGGCAGCACCAGATGGAAACATTGGTTATAGCAGCCAGGTGTGGGTATCCCATGCTGCAGTGTGTGTGCTCAGCTCTAGGTGGCTTGCACCATCCCCAGCCTTGTGACTGCCAAATCTCAGGGCAGGGGTATTCCTGGCTGCCCGGTGGCCTGCAGTCTGTGCAGATGGCTGGGAGAAGACACGAGCAATGGCTGGGACCGTGGACAGCTGCAGGGCCTGAGTCCCCAGAAGTCATCTCTGTGCTGGGGGGATCCATAGGTCTAATTTGTTTCAGCTTTTGATTAGAAACAGCATCTGCAAAAATATTCAGCAGTGTTGTGTTGAAGGAAAAGCACTGGATGGGACATGGACAGTTCAAATGTACTGGAGTAAGGTGGATGAAAGTGGCTGATTCCACCCCTAAGTAAAAAGGATCATATTTGTCAAATTAAAACATGACTTTAAAATGTAAGTTAAATACATTTGGTTTTTTAAACATGCCTACATTCAGTTACATTTGATAATATGGCAGTGCATAGCAGGGACTAAATGCGCTCTCAGCTGCTACAGCTGTCTCAGTTAAATTCTAGGTAATACTGGAGCAACATGTTTGCTGAGTTTTAAACAACATCAGATAACTGAAGCTGAGGCAAGTTCCTGCCTGGGAACTAGGTTTTGTTGAAGTGTCAATGTGGCTTTTGAAAGGAGCAGCCTCTTTTGCAGGTGCAGAGAAAATAATTTCCCCCCTGCAGGCTACGTTAACTAATCCACTACAATAACAAATTCATTTCAAATTGAAAACCAAGTGGGATTTGAGAAAGAAGGAGAACTTGCGTTTTTTTCTTTCATGCCTCAAAAAGCTGATGAACAGGAACAATTGAATTCACAGAAGGATGATGTATTTTGTTTAATAAATCAGTTAATTGTGAGTTAAATTCTTTTGCATAAACTTTTTGTTATCCATCTACCACCTCTGAGATTATTTTTACAATAAACAGTGCTATTTGTTGAAAAGCTGTACAATGAACATACATAGCCATTTAAATTTGGAGATATAGATATGTACAGGACTACAGATACAGCTACATGTATCTTCAAGGTTAGCTAAAGAAGTGCCAAGTTCTGCCAGGTAATAAGGAAATCACTTAAATAACTAAAAGATAAAGTTGCAGAACAAGATCAAAGCCAGTGGTTTGAATCGAGGTTTTCTTTTTGTTGAGTTAAATTTGGAGTGACTTCATCCCTTGTGGCATAAGCAAAACCATTTGGCATTGCAGCCTTAATCAGGACCAGGCTAAAAAGCTGAAGGTCTACCCATGTCAGCAATCACAAAACCCTGAAGTTTCAGCCCTTCTGTAGACCGTGGGAGCTTCACAGGGTTGAATTTAATAGAAACCACTGATCAGATAACCCCTCTGGCTGCCAGCAGTGGCATGTTACCCCTGCACTACTGCTGCAATTCATCTCACAGACTAGAAGTGAGTCAGAAGTGATTCATTTGGCCACAGGTACAAGTCTGCATGTGAACTGGGCTCCCTTTGGAGTCACAGAAGAGAAGTAGGCACCCCCGGACAGCAATTCACCTCATCCTTAGGTGTCTGAAGTGGCTCAGATGAATTGTCCCCTGTAACTGATGGTTTCCTTGGCTTGGGTGAAATGGGTGCAGGGTGACTACCTGGGAAGCACTGAAGCTGGCTCGTACAGATGGTACCCAAAGTTCTCCTTGAGCAGGGGATGCTCATGTAAGAGCAGTGGCTGCAGGAGAGGTGGGCAGCTGCATTTCCTAATGGTTTTGCTTTCCAGGATGGTATTTGCTAGGAGATAGCAGTGGTTGCAGGAGGCAGTGTTGCAATCCCCAGGCTCAGGACCCTGCCCCAGGAGGGACCCTTGGCATCACAGCTGATGTGGGGTGGGTGTCCCCAGTGGTGGTGTCCGCAGCGATGCAGCCCCCAGCAGCTGGCGCTTTGTTCAGCCGTGTACAGGGCAGTGCTGTGTCATCCTCGCGTGGGACTTCCATGCAGCATGATGATGGGGGCAATATCCCTTTGCCCCACAGTCATGTGGGAGTCTCAGCACCGTCCTCCTTTGCATCACAGGTAGTCCAGTCTTCTTGTAGCTTTTCCAAGGTATTAATGAAAACTGTCTGTCTTCTGATGTAGTGTAGTTAGAATGTGGCATTTCATGACATTTCTAAGTAATACTTCCTTTAAACCAATTTTTCTGTTTCTTTGCGGATGTGTTTCCCATGAAGACTGAAATGACTGTGCATCAAAAGTTGACTTTTGTGCAGATGGTCATCACATGTGGAAAACAAGCATAAAAGAGAAATGCAGAGAAATTCCCCCAAAATTCCTTGTTCCCAGTGCCTGGAGATACTCAATTTTGTACCTTATAAGAGGTACAAATTCTAAGAGTGGGTGTGATTGGCAAATTGGCACTTTGCCTTTAAGTTCAGATGACCATATTGCAGTTTGTTGTTGCCCTCTGTTCTGAATATTTCTAATTTTTCAGAAGAGCAGGCGTATTAAATGCCAAGGCTGCAATAATTGCACATAAGTACTGTGGCACGATGACCTCCCACAAAATAATCCATGAAGGAATTTAAATACGTAAATTATTCTAGGAACGCTGTTATGCAAGTGTACCTTCCCTGCTTCCAGTGTCAGGATTTTTAAAAATAAATATGTATGGTGTCCAGGACAGAAACTTACTCACATTCTACTGGCACTACCAGGGTTTTTTTAATATAATCTCACTCTTTTTAGCATTTGTAAATGCAAAGCTATAGCAATGCCCTCCATGCTGTATTCTCTGCCGTACTTCTTGAATGCTTCACCTCTGAAATGCAGGTACCCAGCTGGGACAGAGGCTTTTCAGCTTCGAGACTCTGGTAGGGCTTGTATCCTCTCGTGGGGAAGCAAGCAAGATGTGCTAACTTACAATTACCAGATGTGCATGCAGTTCTTTTTGAAAGTGGCAACAAGGACAGGGTGCGGGCATTGAAGGGAAGAGTGCTACCTCTGAGGGCAAAATCAGATGGTAGGATGTTAGTGGCTCTCTACTGTTTCTGTCAGGTCCGATGAATAGGGTCCTGGCTTAAGTTATTTTGACCGGTTAAACTTTGTATTGGGAAGGAAATCCTTAAGCCAAGGCAGATTTATCTAGAGCTTCTTCACAAGAGAATGAAATAACTTTCCACCCCAGAAAAAAAAAGAAAAAAAAATACTAATTAGCAAGGTTCATGATGTTTATAAAAATGGCAGTCCTAGCTGATGCTGAGGTGTGCTAAATAAGACTTTCCTGAGGTGGAAAACAGAGGGAGGAGTGCTCAGGTGGTCCTGTGCCTCCTGCCCCATGCTGGGAGTGATGGGAGCTGCCCAAAGCAGCACGAGGAAAGACTTGTCCTCTGGAGAAGTGCAGGTCCTTTGTTTCTTCCCCTGTGCTCTCTGAGGAAGGAGAGCAATTCTCCAATTACATTTATTGTCAAAAAAAAGAAGGGGAAAAAAAAATGTCCCAGCAGCAGTGCCAGGATACTGGCATACAAAACGCAGGCTCTGTATTTACCTGCTTGGGGGGCACTGAGGTGGTCTGTCCATGAGTTTGCTCTTGCAGGCATGTGATGCAGCTTGTAGTGCTGTGCAAGGAGGCCAATGGGTTTGGTGCCTGGACTCCATCTCCATTAGCATCTCCACTCCCAATCCACTTGCTTCTCTTGGTCCGAATGGCACCATGGTCCTCGACCCAAGGAGAACAGCCACGTCTCTCATCTCAGGGTCCCACACGCCTCCAGGTCACCCTTGGGAGCTTAGCATTAGTCTTCATCTTGGCTCATTTAGCTATGATGGGGTTTGTTGCTGTTGTTCAAAAAATAAAATGACTGTCTAGCTTTTGATTATTTGTAAGCATTTAAAGGCATATTGCTTACGGATACCACTGTTCTCTCTACAGCCTCTTTTGTTTATCATTTACACAGAATAGCACAAAACCTGGTCCAGGGCAATGTGAACCTTTCCACAGATCTCATGAAGTTTTGGATCAGGCTCTCGGGACATGCTAAGGTCAGGCCCTGTTAGGCAGGAGGACTCCTCTGCTAATTAACAACCAGTTAGCTATCCTGCTTTTTAAAAATCTGATTACTTTACTGGTGGTCTGAGTTAAATTGTTCCCCTGCTGTGACACAAAACACGTGTAAATACAGCATAGGCGCAGGATCCCATTTTATTTCTTAAGTGTTTCTTTTCCATTAAGAGCAGGGCTGGTCTGGCAGCCACAGCACACATGGTTTTCTCCTTGACCACAGTTGGAGAGCTGTGGGAGAAGTAGCTGCACCATCTGCCTCCCATTTCGAGGTGATGATCATACTATTGACTTTACTGGTGCCTCACTGACTGTCCAAGAGTGTTGCTGTTGGGGTGATGTGTAACAAAAACTTTGTGGTCGGATCCTCCCTCACTTGCCCTAACTTAAATATCTCTGTGTTTGAGATCTGGCACATGTTTTTTTCCTCCGAGATGTCTTCTCATGCTTAGGCTTTATCCCACCCTTTAAAAATAAGCAAGCACAGCATGGGAGTAAAGTTGTCTTTCTGTTTGCACGTTTACCTCCCACCAGCTGTTCCTCCTTGCCCAGTTCCCTGCACGTCTTGGAGCAGGTTCAGTTCTCCCTTATACTCTGCCATCTCCCCAAGGTGCAGGAGTGGGGACTTCTGGGTGGAAAAAGGAAGGCAATCCTGTAATGGTACCTAATTTGGAGTTGGAAATATGCTTGGTTTCCCCTTAGGAAATGGCTCTTGGAGAAGAGGAGACAAACATGACCTTGAAGCCAAGAAGGCATACTCGTACCTCCAGACAGTCACTCTGCTGAGGACTGTGAAGCCTGAGTTTGAGAAGTTTTCCCTGGAGGTGAAAAGTTCCGTTCAGAAGCAAGGTCTGCATGAGGATGACTACGTAAGTACTTGGCGACAGGCTTCAGGTCTTAGCATCTTCAAAAACATGCTCCTAATTAAAGCAAAAGTAGCATTGAGCCCTTCTCAGGACAGAATCACCTTGGTTCAGTTATAAAAGCCCACTGTGGCCTATATCACTTTTTTCTCCTTTTTTTTTTTTTTTTAAGTGGATAATGAAAATATCAGCAAGAATAGACTTGGTCTAGGTGTACCACGTCTGTGCATCACCATTCATGACCAGTTGTCTTGTGCTTGTCCCGCATTGCTCATCAGCAGGAGGGTTGGGGAAATGCAGATCGCCAGCATTCTTTCTCCCTCTCCCACCAATCACTTGTCTTTTTTTTTACAGGCAAAGAATTATATTTCTCATCTTTGTTCTCTCCCAATGCTTTTTTTTGGTAGAATCAGATCTCAGAAGGTTACACTCTCTGTATTGCATCTGATAAAGTTTTTCTTGATGCAAATGAGAAAAGTGGTCTTATTCTCCAACTAAGCACATTTAGGTTGTTGCTGTTGTTTATTTTAAACTGTCTAAAATATCGCTGTAGTCCTTGCAAGTTGTTTTAAACCTAGGGGAGTGCCACTGTCCCCCAGAGATGGATGTGGGAAAGTATGTATTTTTTTAATCTCTCAAAATGTAGGAGGAAGATGCCTCTGAAAATTGCTTTTGAGCTACTGCAAAGCTAGTTTGTTAGTGATTTTCATAGAAAGTGTTCCATGAAAGCAAGAATGTATAGCACATACCTATAGGGATGTCTGCGTGCTGATACAAGTCAAGTACCTTCCAGACAGTCAGCCTTCCCCATGGCTGGGAGGAAACTTTTCAAATACGATTAGAAAGAAAAGAGGCTTGAAGAGAGTTTTGATCAGTCTTTAGCTGTAGGAAATGAGAGCTGTAATACAAACAATTCCATAGGAAAAGTGACTATCAAGAAAAATGTAAATCTTTTGCAGTTAGGAGCATGAGACGAAACTTTTCTCACTCTATCATGCATGTCTACATATAGAGGAATAATGAACCCATAAAGACAGAAGAAATTTTGGCTTCATATACTAAGGCAGTATACTATGTTGTTTTTCAAGCAAATTCAAATGTTGCTGTGAAGTGCACTCTATGAAATTAAGATGTTGCAGCAAGGGTAAATTTGCTTGAAAGCTGTTATGTTGGGTGAAAGGAAAAGAACTGGTACATCCAGAGCACCTGCTTGAACTCCTAAAAGAAGGTTTGAGGGAATTTGTGCCCAAAACTCAGGAAAGCAACTTAAACCCCCATTTGCCAGCTCTTACTTAGGCACCTGCCTCAGCTCTTTGCTTTAAGCATTGTCTGTCCCCCAGGTGGAGGCATCATCTGTAGTTCAAAGCACAAGCACATGAACTTGAAGGTTGTGTTAATAAATTACCTTTTCTGCAGTTTATTGCATAACCTCAGCTGTCTTCAGAAAACCTGTGCTTCTTAGAACTTGCATATATTTTATGTAAGATGTAATGTTGAATCATATCAGTGGCTTGCATTTTTCTCATGAAACTTTCACAGTCTAGGCAGGCAGAAATAGTCTTTTGTTGGTGTTCTTTGCCTCGGGTCAGTAGAGAAACCCCAACTGCTGAGTTCAAGGTGCTGCTCTGTGAAGAACCTGCTAAATGAGTTTTGAATAAGGCATGGGACTGTAATTTGTGCTGTTCCTCCTTTTTCCCTCTATGTGCCCTTTTGCAGATGTCACTTAGCAAGATGGTTGGTGGGAAATGTGATTTTGAATATTAAAGATCAAGATTCAATCATGCCCAGTTTTGTGGCTTTTCTGGTGTGGGCAGTGTGACATTTCCCCAGATGAGAAAAGTGTTAAACTGCTGAGAGCTCAGGATGCTCTCGGTGGGTGGTTTGGAGGCAGGCAAGGGGATGCTTTGCTGTTCTTTAGGATGGGGACCCACTGCAAGCCCTGTTAATGATCAAGCAGAATTGGATCCATGAGAGAGAAAATCCCTCCATGTCAGCAGCAGGGAGATTTTGCAGGCTAATGTGTTTGTTGGGGAGGCTCCTTGCACAGCTGCGTACCCACTGCCAGCAGTCCTTTTTTCTCTTTCCGCACTCCATGGTTGGTTGTGCAATCAGATGTCTGTGCTGACAATTCTCCTGGCTGTGCCAGGGCAGCTGCACGGGTGCGTGTCTCCCTACTGCCTTGCCCTTGACCTCCTTCTGCCTGGCTCTGAGGGCTGCCTCTCCCTGTATCCCATTCCCACCTGTGATCCAGAGCTTTTCATCTTGCTCCAAGCACTCCCTCACCCCAAAATATCAACCTTTGGTAGGGCTGGGCAGTGGCTTGGGGCCCCTCCTGCTGCTACCTCTCCTACTCCTCTTCCGGCTCTTCCTTCCCTGCCTGGCTTTCTGCACACTTCCCAGTCTCTTCTTGTCAGGGCAGAGGTAGGACTTGTGACCTCTCTACGCCTACCACAGCTTCTTGCCATCTGAAACATCAATCCTTGACTCACAGGAAGCTTGTGGTGGAGGCCATAGGGATCTGGGGCTCCCTGTGGAGGAGCTACAGATCTTGGCTATGGGGGAAGGAAGTTTGGTTTCAAATGCAGAGTGTCCTGGTGTTACATAGATACTTAACTTACATAGATCTCAGCAGAGCCTCCCCTACCTGCTTTCTCACAGCCTTCTAACCCCGTGGGAAAACAAAACTTTAAGAAGGGTAGCCTTGGGTTGAGCATAGCAAAAAACATTAGCTGTCTTAGTTTATTAACAGTGTGTGAATTTTAACTGTCTGGTTTGCTTTTCATCATTTATGATGAATTTTACATTTCCCCACTTTGGACAATGGGGAAAGAGATACTTCATATTCCCTTAACTGGTTGTCCTGCTGCCGTGTTCAGAGGAGAAACATTTTGGGGCAGTCTTCAGGCTTAAGAAAAATATCCATTTTAAAAATTAATGGAGAAAAATAAAAAGCCAAACCGAGGGCCAGTTCCTTCCTCTCTGAGAGATGTGTGTGTAGTGGACACCTCATTAATGGTACTTCATTTGGCAGCATGGGAAGTAAGTGGCAATGTTGGCCTGGGCATGTGCTAAGTAGGGCTGTGTCCTCCAAGAGAAGCTTGAGAGGCAGAGGTCCTTCAGCTGCGTGGGTGGGAAGCGACAGAAATGGATTTTCTCTGCTGGATTTTGCTCCTGAAAACAAAAACTCTGGGGAAAGATAGTTGGTGGTACAGTCCATCTCAAGTCGTATCCATGGGTGTTGAAATATAGTCCTCATCCTTTTCTGCAAGCCATGTCCGAGGAGCATGAACTCTGGGAGGTTTGGATTTGAAGCATTCAGTGTTTGTGCTTCTCTGTGTGTTTTTTTCCGGTGTCATGGGAAAATGGAGCCCTGGGTCCATGGTCTAAATTATCTCACACTGACCCTAACTCAAACAAAAGTTGTTAGCACTGCCATTTTGCCCTGGCCTCTTGCCAGCGCTATTCCTAAAGGCATTATTATCTGCCAAAAAAGAATATCATAAAAATGGAGAATAAGCAGATGACAGAAGGAAAGATAAGGGAGACAGAAAGGGCAAAGTCCTAAAGCAGCAGCTGTCCAATTGCCAGACTGGAGAACACATATGACCCTTGGAGTAGTAACAGGTCAGTGTCGTTGGCCATCTTCATCTCCAGCTATGAAATCACACAGAAAAGAGAAAAATGTGTTGTGGGTGCGTCTTTCCCAGGTCAGAAATAGCTGTTGTTTCTGCATGGGTGCTATGCTGTGTGTGGCAAGGGGGTAGGTAGAGAAGCCGGAGCTTTGTGAGTGAGCAGAAAAGTGTGGAAAAGGCAATTTCTCTGACTCCTCCAGGAATCTCTCTTGTGAAGGGAAAAGCTTCCTTAAGCACCTTTTAACTAAACAGCATTGACAATAAGAGTGACAGAGGAGTTCTGAGAAAGCATCTTAGAAGTATTTGGGTAGGTAGTAAATTGCACAGGATGGGGCTAAAAATGATGATGTTCCCTGCCTGCAATGTCCCATTGCAACATCCCATTGCAACAGCTCTGCCTGAGGGTCAGCACAGCCTGTTAGCAAGTATTATTAGTTTGCTTGGTCACCACTTTAAGAATCTGAAAGCAGTTACCGTCATGTTAATGTAACCCAAAGAACCATCAGATCTGCTTAGCCCTTGTTTCAGCATTCAACAGTGTCATGACTTTTTTTCCAGAAACATCCTGTACTTCTGTAGAAAGTTTGACCATTTTATTTTGTGCCTACCTGGAGACTGACTTCTCTGATAAAATAGCCAAAAAAAGAGGAATTTTTTCAAAAATGCATTCAAATTTGGGGTTCAGGCATAAGGACAGTAGAATCACTTTAATGCTATCACACAAATTATAGCCGTTTTCTCACTTCTGTAATGTAAATGCGTTACCAAGACATTAAAAGCAATGTGTCCTGGTCTCTATAAATAAATTAAGGTCCTTGGTTTAGTTGCAAAATACAGGACAAGCTCTACTGGCAGACCTATAGCCTAGGTGAGGCAGACAGCAATGGGAATTGCATGCATTTAATTGAAGGAAGAACTTGAAACTGTCTCTGAATTGGTGTGTGAATAACTCCCAACAGATACTGTAGTTAAAAATGTTTATGAATAAATAGCATTTCAGTTAAAGTACATGCATAAGCCATTTTTATTAAATAATGCTGAACACTTAATGAATTGGTGGTAGGCTGCAGTTTTGAAGCTCTTAATGCACCTTCTGTTCCTGACTCAGGCCTAGGATTCAGTAAATGCTTTTTTTATGTCCAACCCAGTATTCTGAGCTGGGATGATTTTACAGTCCAGGATATTTGCTCTTCTGAGGTTACAGACCACCCATGGCTTGTTTCTTCTTCTCATTTAAAAGCTGAAAATGTAACTAATTAAACAAATATTTCTGCTGTGTTAACTACATGACAGCATTGTTTGCGAGGTGGATGCGAGGGTTTTATCCTATCCACAACCCTTTTCACACTGAAAATGAGCAGCAGGAGAAGGGAA